GTCTGTCACCACGCCTTCCCTGTCTGTCACCACGCCTTCCCTGTCTGTCACCATGCCTTCCCTGTCACCATGCCTTCCCTGTCTGTCACCACACCTTCCCCGTCTGTCACCATGCCTTCCCTGTCTGTCACCATGCCTTCCCTGTCTGTCACCATGTCTTCCCTGTCTGTCACCACGCCTTCCCTGTCTGTCACCATGCCTTCCCTTCCGCCACGTCTTCCCGTCCACGGCAGAAAGTGTCTCCTGGGACTGTAAGCTACAGTAGCCCTCCCTCTCTTAAGCTCTTTCTGTCAGGGTATTTTATGATAGAAATCAGAAAGTAACCAACATAGGGTCACAATCAGCCCAGGCTGGCCTCAGACTCTGTGTAATGGAGGATGACATTGAACTTCTGATCCTCTGCCTCTGTGTGCTGAGTTCTAGGACTACGAGTGTGTGCCACCATGCCCACAATCAGGGCTTCTGTGTGCTGGGAAAGCACGTTGCTAACAGAACTACATCTTCAGCCTCGTTGAGTCGATTCAGCGTGTTAACACTGGAGTGCTTTCCACCGTGTCTGCCCTATTTTAATCAGAATGAAGACTTGCTATTGTTACTTTATCTGCATCGTGATTACCTCACTGCTTGTAGTAGACCCACAATAGATGCTTGTAAGTGACTAAGCTGTATATCCTATCTTCATGTGATGCCTCTGAAATTGCTTCCTTCAATTCATTTGCTTCTGGGAACTGCGTACTGTCTGTAAGCAGCATGAAGGTCCAGTGGAGGGCTCACAATTACCCCAGAAAGCAGGCCGACAGCCCGGCAGAGGGAGGAGTGCTCTCTCCTACCCCAGGCTCCGGCCTTCCTGCCCTTCCTCAAACCACACTGATCAACCAGCCCTGCACTTCCCAAACACCCCGCTCCTTCCTCCTTTCCTTTTCCCTCTTGACTTCCGTTCCCTACCCTCAGATCTCTTCCCCTTTCATTCTTCCCTCTTCTTATCTAAATTCAGGAACAGCATCAGGAAGATGGGTGTGCTCAGCTCTGGCAGCCCATCCCATCAGCCAAGTGGATTTAATGAGTTACTGAACAGCCGTATCCTAGGCTGCTACTCCGTGAAAGAGCTTTTTCAGAGCTGTGCGTAAACAAGGCAAAATTCAAGTTGGCTGCTGTGAGCAAAATAACAGGAAACTGCAATTCTGCAGCGTTTTTCAACTTTGAAAAGGAAAGAAACTGCTGCCAGCACACTTAAGGCAAGCTAGAGTCTCAGCATCCCATCATGGCTGCTGTCTTCCAGAGCTAAGCCTGCAAGTCTCCTGCTTCTGACTCTCTGATTGCTGACAGGCAGCGAGGTGTCAGTTTGGACGCTTAGACACCAGGGCTCCATTTCTCTGCCTTAGTTCCCCAACTATTCTGCGTGTGCCGCCTCTGCCTCCTGAACATCCCCTGGAAAGGTGCCTCTTGCAGAATCAAGCCAGGAACTTCTTTTGACTACAGATGGTCCTGTTTTTATCCCCGGGACATTCATGGTAGACCCACGCCAAGTCTGCGATCTTGGGCTTGGCAACCGGAGCCATGCATGAGCGGGAGTTTCCTTCTCCCAGTTTCTAAATTCAAGTTTCAAAATGGTAAATACACCAAACTTGGAACTCTGCAAGCAGCATCCCACTAGATCACACGGGAGAATCTCTCATTCCCCTCTTGAATCCAGCAGCTCTGTGCATGCCATCATATTTATTCCTCTGTCAAAATCAAAACTGTGCTGTTTTTAAACCTTTCTGCACTCCAATCATCTCCTCCCGGCTTTCTATCTGGACCTCAGAACCCACGCTTTGATTGAGAGTAAGGATTTCTGTGGTTTGTGGATAAGTGATTCTTAGTCCCAATTACCACAAACGGCTCCTTCATCAGACCTCATGATGAATCCAAGATGAGCTCAGAGATTCTTTTTCCATTATCTACTGCAACATTCTGGACACTCCATTTCCTCCTTTATTAACTACTTTCATTCTCTACTTTGGGCCTCTTTCTTTAAACATGGACTATAGAGAAAAACTCTTCATAAAAGTGGACATGACTGCACCCACGACACTAAATGCCCTGCCATGTACATCCATCTTAATGGCTGTCTTTGTCATTTAGGAAACAGAGGTCATGTGTCTGTATCCCATCAGCAGGTCAAGGCCCCCAAATCAAAAGAAAGCGGGTTGTGAAAGACCAAACCCCTGCTAGGGAAGATTTGGGGCATGGAGACAGGTCTCCATTTCAGTTTGTCCTATTTGCAGCTTTATGAAGTTGATGGAAAAATGAAAAACAGGATGTTGGGGTGGCAACATTGCTCAGTAAGTAAAGATGCTTGCAGCTAAGCCTGCCACCCTGGGTTCAGTCCCCGGGACTCAGAACAGAAGGAGAGGTCCGAAGATGCTTGCAGCTAAGCCTGCCACCCTGGGTTCAGTCCCCGGGACTCATAGAACAGAAGGAGAGGTCCGATCCCATCACTTTATCTGACTTACACACACACACACACACACACACAGAGAGAGAGAGAGAGAGAGAGAGAGAGAGAGAGAGAGAGAGAGAGAGAGGCAAATAAAAATAAATAAATGTCAAAAATCCTTAAAATTTAAAAGTTGTACATGTGGTACTTTTTGTTGCTGTGATTAAAAAATACCATAACCAAAAGCAACTTCAGAGTTTACTTGGCTTATGGTTCCAGAGGGTTCCAGTCTATGATGGCAGGAAAGGTGTGGCATGCCAGGAGGGGGAGGAAGTTGGCTCTGTACATTGTCACCCCACACAGAAAGCAAGGGAGCAAGCAGGAAGTGGGGCGAGACTGTAAGCACCAAGGCCTGCCCCAGTGGGCGTTACTCACTACCTCCAGCAAGGCTCTAAAGGTCTACACCCTTCCCAAACAGTGCCGCCAACATGGAAACAAGTGTTCAAATCCACGAGCCTACGGGAGCATTTCTCATCCAAACCATGGCACAAAGCGCAGGGCAAGACCTGTGAAGCAAATTTAATGGTGTCACCCTGACCGTAGCAGAGGTGGTGGCCATGACGGCAAAGGCAACAGAGAATGGAAAATGAGTTGGCGTGACTCACGTCCTGGTGACTCTAATGTCTTAGTCTCCTCCCTGTCCACACAGTTCCTCTCCCACAAGAAGAAAGGATCAGAGTCATAAATCCGTCTCACCCTTTGCTCTGCCTTCTAGCTTGTGATAAAGTTGTCAAGCTGTGAGGCAGATTGAACTCTTTGCAGAGGTCCCTTCGATTGTGGATGTTATTTTTTTCCAATTTTCTTTTCACAGGCCATCACAGCTGGGGCACTTGTACTGCTTGCTCACAGAAAGTGGACCCAGAGACACTTGGTAAATACAAAAATGTCAGCAGGGATGGTACAGCAGATTTGACAGTCGTGAGTGTGTGTGTGTGTGTGTGTGTGTGTGTGTGTGTGTGTGCCTGCGCGCGCGTGCGCGCGCGCGCGCTGATGATGATGACCTCAAATTTCTAATCCTCCTTCTTCCATCTCCCAGGTCCTGGGATTACAGGCATGTGCCACCTTGCCCAATTTTATAAACTATGTTTAAAATGTAATTTTATCCAGTTTTTACTCTAAATCATTTCTCTAAGTTCATGATTACTGTTGGGCCCGTGTCAGTGCCCTGAGTTAATGTTGTAGAAATTAAAGAACAGGCTCCCCTGCTTCAATAATGTAAGTGCCCATGGTGTGTGTGTGTTTGGGGGGTATGGAGTGAACCCCGGACTCAGTGCTGCTAGACAAACACTCTACCCCCAGCCTCAACAACTCCTCGGATGGAGGTCACATTCCGAGCTCTCAGATCTGGGAAAGGATGAGAACTCCAAGCCAGCTTGTATGAACGGCACCGAGTCAGCTCTTCCCTCTCTACAGAAAGAGTGTGGTATCTACTGTAGCCTCATTTCCGTGGCCAAGGCCGTGGACAGGTCAGCTGGAGCCTGAGCTAAAACGCAGGCTCGGACTGAGAAGGTCCGGATGAGGTCTGAAAGGCAGCCTTTCTGAGAGGCTCTTCAGCAGCGTCATGCTCCCCAGCCGCAGATGGCACCCTGAGTCGCAAGGTCCAAAGAGGGGATGTGTTTCCCAACATCAACAGGCACTCTGAGTATGATAGGAAATAAACAAGTAAAACTTTATTGAACTGATTTCATTTTAGCTCACATTGCTGTGTGGTTTTCTCCTGTAGCATAGATTGGCAGCAGGGAGAACAGCAGATCCTAAAAGGAAGGTAGAGGGAACCAGCGGTGGAGTTCGGGGACAGAGTGCTAGCCTGGCATACAGAGGCCGTAGGTCTAAATTTTAAATGGCAGCATGGGGTGGGGTGGGGTGGGGTGGGGGGTAATCCAGTGTGGCACTTGGGATGTAGAAGCAGGAAAGACCAAGAGTTCAAGGCCAACCTTAGCAACATAGAAATCTGAGGCCAGCCTGGGCTACAGGAAACTCAGTCTTGAGTGTAGATGGGATAGAAAGCTGTGTGTATTTCTCCTCTTCCAGGTAGAGGAGATTAATGGCCTCCAGTAACAGTGGTTTCTTCCTCTAAGTGACAGTTTGTTTCTGCTTATTTTCAGTGGGAAGCTGGCTTCACCTTTGTAATTCTGAGCATTCTGGGATGTCCACTTCATTTTGCAATAGCCTTGGAATCTGCCCTCCTTGGTCCATATTGCTTCTACTCCTTCTCAGGGGCTGCGGGGACCGGCTACGTTGGCTACGCAGTCGCCTTTCCTTTCCCGTACACGAAGTTTCCGTCAGTCTGTGTGGACCCCCTCCACTATGAAGAATACCACCTGGCACTTCAAGCCCTGGACCTGGGCCTGAGCTTCACCCTCTTCTGTGTGTCCCTCGGCCTGTTCATCAAGCTTTCTACAAGATTGTTGCGGAACGGACACATACATGTGAGTTCCAACAAAGGGAGACTGGGCCTCGCTCAGTCCTGAACGGTGAAGGACTGTGTGGGATCCCTGCCTGGTCTCCCTCTATCTGTTGCCATGGTATCCAGGGTCCAGCTTATAACTGGTTTATTCTCCAATAGTGGGCACCACTTGACAGTTTCTTTTTCAACCTAGAACTTTAAAGCTGTGCATAGGAATAAGACAATGGTTCATAAATACTCTCACCTCTTGGTATTATCTCCTTTTAGGTTTTTTTTTTTTAATTTTTAAATTAACTGACAATTTCATACATGTATATATTAGATCATGTTTACCTTACATTTCTTTCTCTTGCCTCCCTTTTCTCTTCCACTGAGCCCCTTCTCCATTAATTTCCCTTCTACTTTCATGTCTTTGTGTGTGTGCATGTGTGTGCGAGTGTGTATGATGTGTGTATATGTGCACATGTGCATACGTGTGTGTGTGTGTGTGTGTGTGTGTACATGCGTATGTGCATGCATGAGTTCACTTGGCCCAGGCTGGCCTCACATTCTGTATCCTCATACCTTAGCTTTCCAAATGCTGGGATTGTGGGTACATGCCAACACATCCGGTCTTCAGAAGGAAATCTTGTGAGTGTGCATGTGTGAACTGGAGGTGCTCATGCCCATGTACACATGTGGAAGCCTGAGGACAATGTCAGGTGTCTTTCTCCATGCTCCCCTCCGGTCTCCTTTGAGACAGGGTCTCCTGCTGACCCCGACACCTGTGAGTTCTCAGGATCTGCCTGTCTCCACCCAGCCTTTATGGGGTGCCCATGTCCTCAGGTTTGCACAGCAGGTGCTCTTACCCATTGAGCTGTCTCCCCGGGTTCCTTAAGCAGTAAGTCTTAAACGTTCTCACCATGCAAATGCACATATTCAAACATGCACAGTCACATGTGAGCTGACTGATGACGGACTCGCGAATTTGATTCTGGAAATATATTTGCCAACACATTTTATTGTACATCTCCAATTTAAACAGAATAAAGTTAATGATTTACTTTATTTTACCACTTAAGCTTTACCATAGACATTTTTTTCTAATAGAGAATATTAAGAGCGTTGTGGAATCTGATTGTAGAAACATCCTTTATGCCTTAAATATTAGTCAAATGTGGATGCTTTAATTTGGTGGCTAAACAATACCCAGTATTTTTGTTTGGGCTATGAAAGAGAAGTTCGTATAGCCCAAACCAAGCTGCGCTTTTTTATTTTTTTTCCAAGAGAGCTAGTTATAACACTAATGCACGGTCTTAGCCAACTTTGGACTGTGTGGTGCTGTTTACATCTTAAAGTTTGTATGTTCTGCTTAACCGGTTCATTTAAAGGCATAGTGTGTTGGTAAAGTACTTGCCTGGTATGCACAAAGCTCTGGGTTTGATCCCAAGCACCTCAAAAATGGGGTATGGTTTGCACACATCTGTAATTCCAGCTTAGGAAGCAGAAGCAAGAGGATGAAGAGTTCAAAGTCATCCTTGGCTCAATAACAAGTTCAACCCTCGTGAGGTGCATAAGACCAGTTTCAAACAAACCAGGAAAAACACAACTTGCTTAGATCACTCAGCTTAGGGACAGAACCCAGTTCAGAACCCAGGCACCTTCCTCCCAAGCCCGTTTAGTTCGGCCTGCCTTGTTGCTTCCATTGCTACTGCTGGCCTGCTGGCCCCAGCCCCAGCCCCACGGCAGCAGACCTCAAGGTGGAAAAGCCACCTCTGCTCCTAATTCTTCCAGGCGTGGCCTCTGTTAATCCTCTGCCGTGGAAAAGCCTTCCTTAGGCGGAAATGCTCCCACTGCCGACTCCGCCTGTGGGATGTCTATCTCCCGGGGTCAGGCAATGCTGCCTTATTTTCTCCCAGTTCTATTCTGTGTACTCCAACCAGCAAAGCAGGAATACGGGAAGTCGGCACTCTTGATACAGGAGTCAGTCCCGTCCTCTTCGGCTTCTACATAAGTCTGCAAAGGAAATCCTGTCCATTCCTAGAACAGAGCTGATTTTACAGGGAGGCTTGCCAAGTCAAGGCAAGCCAACCCACATTACCTCCCTCCCTGCACTGCTAGGGCACCTGGGAACTCAGGACTTGAGATTCCACCCAGGTGGTGAACAGCCCACATTTTCTAGAGTTCTTGTCAGATGTAACCTATGGCTATGAGAGCCAGTGAAGTACTGGCTGTATAATTCCCCACCATAGGGGATTCACTAGGCACATGGCTGCCCCCCTTATGCAGAAGGCTCAGGACACCTGCATTTAGCAAATGGAGGGCAGGGAGAAAGGAAAAAAAAAAACCTGGGTGCAGAATTTGGTAAGTGAGCTCAGAGACTGTGCCGGGAGGCTACCTGAAGTCCCTGGAGAGAGAAAACGAACAGGAAACAGAAGCAGCAAACTGTGGGTCTCAATCCCTTCGGGGCTGGAACAGCCCTTTCACAGGGGTCACAGGTCAGATAGCCTGCATATCAGATATTTGCGTTATGATTCATAACACTAGCAAAATCACAGTTAGGAAGTAGCAACGAAATAATTTTGTGTTGGGGTTCACCATGACAGGAGGAACTGTATTAAAGGGTCACAGCATTGGGAAGGGTGGGAGCCATGGGGCCAGAGGTAAAGAGCGCCAACATGGAAGTCACTCGGTCCATAGAGCCCACGACAACTGTAATGATTTCTCAGGGCAGATGACATCAGAAGCTCTTAGGCAGGTTAGACCATTTGTTACTTGCTTTGAGATAGCATCTCCTGCAGCCCAGGCTGGCCTCAAACTCACTGCATAGCCGAGGATGACCCTGGTCCTCCGCCTTCACCTCCAGGGTGCTGTCATTACAGAAGGCTCTAATATGCCTGCCTTCGGGGTTATTAAAACAAATTTCTGGACCCCACCTGACTCTGCAATGTAGAATTCTGGGGAAGAGCACAGACAATATGCATTTATAACACACATCCTGGGAAAGTCTAATGACCACAGATGTCAGAGTTGGCATTATAACTTATTTCTTTCTTTCCTCCCTTCCTTTTTTTTTTTTAAGACAAGATATGAAGTAACCCAGGCTAGCCTTGAACTTGCAATGTAACCAAGGCTAACCTTGAACTTGTGACCCTCCTGCCCTGACCTCCTAAATTCTGGGATTACAAATGTGAACCACCACACTGGTTTATGAGGTGCTGGGAATTGAACCCATGGTGTCCTGCATGCTAGGCAAGCACTCTATGGACTGAGCTCATCCCCAGACCCTTCTACCGCATTCTTTATAAAAGAGTCTCTTCTTAGGGCGGTTTCGGGACAGAGTCCCCATTTCCCTAACTGCCTACAATGCAGCACCACATTTAGGTAAACATCTAGATAAATTTACTAAGTGACATTTCCCTTGGGAGCATTTTTGGATGATTTGACCTTGCTTTATCCAGAATGGCACAGATCGAGTTTCATTAGCCACTCTGTGGGGCTGACACAATGGGACCCTGCCCCCTACCCACATTTGCACAGCCCAAGCCAGCCTGTCTCCATGCACATCTCAAAATACTGGATGTAATCTCCAGCAGTGAAATTAATATATTATCAAAATTTCAGAAAACAGGCTTAGAAGAAAACAGTGATCTACCTAGGTAGATCCTCCATCTGTGAAGAGCCCACCGACAGTTACAATGGTAGATTTTTTTCCCCTTTGTTACATTTATTTGTTGGGGGTATGCTCAGGTGCCCAGGACAACTGTAATACACTCCATGTGTACGTAGAGGTCAGAGGCCATCTTCCCGGAGTTGGATCTCTCTTTCTATCGTGTGGATTCCGGGATTGGAACTTGGGTCTTCAGGCTTGGCGGCAAGCACCCTTACCCACTGAGCCATCCCACCAGCCTGTATTGCTAGATTCTCTACGTAATGAAAGTGACTGAGTAATTTTTTTGTTTGTTTTTATTTTTCCTAATAATACCCTAAATTTTCATTTAAACTATGATGCATCTCATGAAACATGCTCCTGGCTGGTACTTTTGTTTTCTTACAAGTAAAACATTGATAACTCTTTAAAATGGCAATTTCAAGTGTCACTCTGAACACCGCTGTTCTTTGGGAAAACAGCACTATCACACATTGTGAGAGTTGGAGGCACTGTCTTTTAAAAAGAGAAAGCAACAATCAAAGCACATTGTTAATGTACACAATAATAATTGTTATTATGTTGAAAAGCAAAGAAAGGTAAAGAAAACAGTGATTTGAAGGGGATGGGAGAACACGGTGTGTGGGGGGGGCACACTTGTTCTCTACCAACCAACATTCTTCTGAGGTTTTCTCCTGTGAGTTTTCAGAAATGAGCCAGGCACTTCCTAGGACATCACCACACCCCCTCCCTCCTCCACAACTGTCTTTCATAGAATTGAGGTGATCTTGTTACAGGTCACACGGAGAAAGGGCAGCTCAGTCCCAACCAAACACACTGAGAAAAGGAGGCATGGAGCATCTGAAGACTTAGAAAGACATGGGCAGCCCTCCTGACTTCATGCCCTGCTGGGAAGGACTCTGGGCTGCACAAACAGGGTGGACCGCTGCCCCACACAGCACCACACAATTTAGGTAGGACACCAAAGCCAGAAACACTGTAAGCAGAATAGCCTGCAGTCTTGCTCCAGCCAGCAATGAAGTTCTGAGAAAGGGGAGCACCGACTGCTGGCCCCCCGCAGGAGGTCCTGCAGCTGATCTACCCCTCCCCCGCCAGGTGCGATGGCACCTTTCCTTTTTCTTTCATTATTTTTTGTTATGTTTTGTGGCTTTTTTAATGAAAAGGGGGAGGAAAACATTTCCCCCCCTTGTCATGTGAATGGTGGCTTTGCTTTTTTTTAATGAATGGAGATGTATTTGCTTCACATAAAAGATGCTGGTAAACCCTTCACGTGCAATTTAAAGACACTTGAGCAAAATATTTATTGATGGGCGGCTCTTTCCCACAGTAGAAGATAAATAAGCTGCCACGCAATGGCCCAAAGCGTGAGTAGATTTCTCTGCCTCATTACAAATATAAATGTATTGGGAGGGATATATTTTTGAGACAGGCCCTCACTATGTGGATGGGACTGGATTGGAACTTACAGCAATCCTCCTGCCTCTGCTTCTGAAGTGCTGGGATGACAGGTGTGGTCCACCACACACAGCTTCTGCAAAAGTTCTTTGAATTGGATTCACCGGAAGCTATTGTTAATTTCTGTTAGTACTCATGTGATCACTCATGGTAATTACTCACGGGTTTCGTTGTGATGTTTTCATATGTGACAAGTCCACTTTGATCACCCCCCCCCCCATCACTCTCCCTTGTCCCCTCCCACTAAACCCCTCCTCTTCCCAGTGGCTCCCTTCAGGTTTTATGTTTTCAGTTCTTTCCGTGGTTCAATGAGTTTAATTGGGTTTGCTTACAGGAACCTGGGTGAGGGGTTTCATTCATAACTCTTGTATTAGGGCCTGAGGCCTCAAACTGAACTCCAGTAAGATCTTTGTAGGAATACTGGGAGCAGAATCTCCTTAGGCGGATAGAGCAGGCTTGAGATAGGTCCACGTACACTCAGAGTCCACTGTATTTCTCCCTCTTATGGTCTATTGCATTGTCTTCAGATTGGTCAATAGAGAAGTGTGAATCTAGAAGAATCATCACAGAGCTGGGGAGATGGCTTTTGGGGTGATTAAACTGCTAATGCAGAGACAGGCAGATCTGTGGGACCCATGGGCCAGCCAGTCTAGCAGAAAAACTGAGCTCCAGGTTCAGTAAGAGACCTGTCTCAAAGGACAAGGTAGAGAGAGATAGAAGACACTGGCGGACATCAGCTTCCGGCCTCCACATGTGCACACACAGGTTATGGTACCTGCACATGCATGCAGGCAGGCATGCAGGCAGGCAGGCACACACACACACACACACACACACACACACACACACACACCCCGCAGTGCCTCAGGCCTAGAGTAACC